TCTTAAAATCCAGCAGAAAAAAATGTTTACTGTAGTATCTAGAAACTGAAATTGGATAATGGCAGACTTTCAGAGAAAAAAAAAGGCATAATCTCTTTAAGCAGTAAAATAATTAACCTCCAAAGAATGTAATGAATTCTTCACAATGTGACATTCTAATTCCAGGTTAGATGCTTCTGTAAATACATTTACAAAAGTAATGGGATGGATCAAAATTGAAATTTAGTTTAATGCAGAAGTGTAGAAAGTCTTGGAGGGCTCAGGCAAGGTGATCAGAAGTGTCCTTCCTGGCATCATACCTAGAAATGGAGAGTGTGCTGCTTTCAGCTACTGCTTTCAGAAGTGCCAAGTTGCATGGTCAACCTGAAGAGAAGCTTCCAGCATGGAAAAACTGCCCATTGCCACTGTAGGGCAAGGCTGGTTCCTTAATCCATTTCCAAGCTTCCCAGTTTCAGGATGCATGCTACATTTAAGAGCATTCCCTCGTGAGCAAATTACCAGTTTGCTCAGCAGTCTCGTCCCAGCCCCAGCAATACAGGGGAACCCATCTACACAGCCTGAACTCATTTTTTCCATGCTAGCAGTTATTTTCTAATGCTCTCACAGCCTTTCTGGCCCTCCCCCTTTTCTTGACATAAATCTGTTCTTCAATAATATGAGAATTCCAGAGAAAGTCTCAAGTACTACATTTCCATTGGAATCAGCATTTGTTATTGGAAAGATGGCTGAACTTTCTAATCCACACTCATCATGTCAACCAGCGTGCTGTCTCAGTGTCTGTCAGTCTGCTTTTGGTCACAGCCAGCTTTTCCACCACCACAGAAAAGAACGTGTCCTTGAACACGAGGCTTCTCCAAACAAGGCTGCCATTAGCAAGACTGTGATTTACATTAAGACCGACTTCCATAAAAACAAGCTCAAAAACAGAACTACGAACAAATGGAACAGCTACAGCTTCATGTATCTGTTCCACAGCTCCATCAGGAAAATATTCTGAATTACACCAAGAAAGTAGGCATTAAACATAGTTTAAAAGATTCAAATGTTTTTCTGACTCCCACAACCTTGCCCTGCTCTTCTTCCCAAAAGAATAGGCTAAGAGGTGAAAGAATCAAGCCATTCTCTTCTAAGCAGGAGGATTTAACATTGCTTAATACTACTACTCAGCACTACTTAGCAATAGCCTCAGGGCAACACACAAGTATTGAGTGCAAAGAACTGTATCTCTCTTGCAAAGCCTCCCATTCTGTCTCTCCCACTTTGCTGCTTTTCTGCAGACAGAACAGCACAATGCAGTGAGAGATGAAGACCTGCCACTCTCCTGCCACAGCCACTTATCATTTAATTCAGATGTTTGCCTCTGTAGACATTTCCAAAGCAAGCCTACAGGCTGGCATTATTTTACCTAGAAGCTTAATGTATACCTACCTATGTAGCTCAGCTCACCACTCCTTAGACCAGTCAGACAGAAAGCCTTTCTCCAAAGGCTGCTGCCTCCTGTTTCCCCTTTTAATTAAACATGTAACCTTACACAGGAACAGATTCCCCCACTCAAAGGAAAAAAGGGCATCACTGACTTCAGTGGGACCAGGACAGTAATTTGCTGCTGCACCTAGTGAAAAGACAAGTACACTTGACAGCTGAATTCCTCAAATAGAGTTAATACAGACTTGTATCACCTGAATTTGGCCCATAATACCTAGACTTCAATTAACAGCTTCAGAGAAAAAAACCCCAAAAAACCCCAACAAACAAAAACCAACCAAAAACCCAAATCAAACCAAAACCAACCAACCAACCAAAAAAAACACCCCCAAAAACCAAAACACACAAATAAAGGCAAAGCCACAATGATGCTTCAAAGCTTAGAATTTTACAAGCTAGCAGCAGGTATGTTCAGATCTGACTTTATGCAGGACACATGCCTTTGCAAGGGAATTGGACAGTGTCTTAGAGGCATCAAACACTGATAAAGATATTTGCTAGGTGAACATTGCTCCTTCTTCTCTGGTGGGGATGAAGACCAAAGCTCTCTTACATAATTTGTCTATGCCTACACACACTGTCATGAGTCCTGGTGGCTTTCAGGTGAGCAGAACAGTTTCACTGTGTAGGTCCCAGTTACTCTTGACACAGCACAGATCCTCTCCTCCCTCCTCATCCTGTGAAACTGGCTGCAGTCCAAGCGTTTTCCTCTCCTTCCTCATGTGTGCCACACCAGAGCAGCAGGCAAAGGTCATATCCTCCTGGACTCAACACAATATTGCAACAGGAATTTGTTTCTCAGCATCTACAACCCTCATCTGAAGCCTCTGTAAGTATCTCTTATTAAACTGGGCTTAAATGGCTAAGTATGCAGACAGTTCCAATCTGTACCAATGCGACTCAGTGGCCTCACCACAGTGAAAACAGCAAAAAAGAAGGGGAATAAACCCAAGGGTGGGAAACTGTGAACTAATACTAAAATGCTGGAGAGAAGAAAGCTACTCTTTTGAGGAAATACTACCTCTTAATTTCTTTCTACATTCCTGTTTCTTTCTCTTAATTTTTTTTTTTTTAAATAATGTTGCTCATTACAGTAGTTTTCATGGCTCCTCCACCGAGAATTGGTTGGCAAATGTGTGGTTTTTACCTGGATTCCTCTATACTCCTGGGCAGTCAGCCATGAGAACAAAAGAAATCACTCATTTCCATTAGTGGCTGGCAATGAGACCGCATCCCCTTCGTCTGGATTTAGACTTCACTGTACAATCTAGTCATTTGTGACTGCCAGGGCTTAATTACTGCAGTAACATGAAACTGAAAAACTTACAAAACTGAAGTATAAAAAGCAGCAGCCGATTGCTGAATTGAAGGCACACCCAAGGGTGTGTGATATCCCAAAGCTCTGCTCCTGCCAGGGTGGAAACCCTCTGGAGACACAGCTTGGCTTGCGTGCAGCAGTGTAAGTGGGCTGGGAAGCACAAACAGCCCTGCTCAAGTGCAGGTCTTCTCACTCTCCAGCATAATCTCCTTAGGCACAGAGAGAAAGGACACTTCCACAGAGTTCTTCAAAAGCTTAGGGAATATTTGGATGACTTTCTAAATGGACAGTTCCCACCAGTTAAATACTCAAATCTGTTCTGAGAGCTGGAGAGTTGTGTCTCCAGCAACTTAAATGGAGGTTTGGGGAGCAATGCTGTAAAATTCCTGATCTTATTCAGGTAAATCTACTTTAAAAAAAAACATAAAGAAAAGCAAAACCAAAGCCCAAAACCCAACCAAACAAACCCCACAAAAACACAGGTGGTGGAGAGGAGCAGTGTATACATCTGGGGAACATGCTGAGGATGCGGCAGTTGGGAAAGGAACAGGACAGAAGGGATAGAGAGAACGCTTACTACATAAAGCAAGGTAGTGCTCACTTCTGGTCATTCTCCCTTGAAAGGAATACTGGGGAAATCAAAACAATTCTGGCTTATGGAAGTTCATGGGGAAATTTTCAGTTTACAGCACTTGAAAAAATTTGATTAATTTTCTTAAAGGGAAAATGAATAAAAGAAGGCATGATACACAAATATGAAAATTGCTATAGAGAGTTACACTGGGCACCAATTATGAATTTACTCTTGTAATCCACAGGGAAGTACCCAGCAAAATGGAAGTTGGGTAAAAAAAGGAGTGTGCAAAATTAAAGTACACCTAACTAACATACAAAAATCATTGCTAAAAAGGAAACATGAGTGTTGGAGAACTGTAGGAAAAGATGGCTATTTACCCATAAGAGTAAATACCCACAGTCAGCCAGAAAATACATGCAAGACACGCTGTTGGAAAGCAAGACTCTGTCAGAAAAGCCAGTTACTGCACAGAATGAATCTCCAAGAAAAAATGGCTGACAAATACTATTTTAAGGTAGGAAGTAAACTGCAGACACATCCTTTGGTTTAGAAACCACATACATTAAAAATGCCTACAGACATCCAACAGTGTCTTGTGAGACAGCCTTTATATTCTGGTTAGCAAAAATAAAATATTCTTTGTATTTTCATCTGGAATTGGACAGAACATCACATATTTATCAATCAATCTTTCAGTGTACACCTTCAAATGTAAATAGCTGAGTGGAAAAAGAAGCAGCAAAAAGAAACAATTCACTGATTTCCTAAATTTTCCTAAATTCACAACAAAAAATCTCTTCTTGCTTATAGATACCCATTTTTGCTTTGCTTTTATGAATCAACCTGCCTGTAGGTCCAAGAAGTGAACTGGACCACGCCTCTTGAGGACTTGTCCAGCCCTCTAATTCTAAAGGGGGAATATTTTTCTGTTTTTGTTTTCCTCTGCCTGCTTCCCACTATCTCTTTTAGCATCCTCTCACTCCTCTTTCTGGCTTGATTTGTTACACTCTGCTATTAGAACTCTCATAGAAACGGGGCTGAAATCCCTGAAATGCTTCCTTTTTGTTATGCCCCACTGGTTTCAGACGAGAATTACTCTTCATTCAGTTGATAAGGATTAAAAATTAAAAAAAGCCCTCAGAGAATTCACTCACATTTCCAGACCATTCAGTTAAAGCACAGAGATGCTGTCATGGAATGGGACTGCAGTCAGACAGCCCTTGCAGCAACAGTGGGACTTTGGTAGCTGTGGCTGTAGCAGTGGAAGCTTTCCACAGCAGTGTTCTGTCAGTGCCAGCTAGGATTATATCACTACAAACTCTGTCATTTATGCCCTGCTATGACCTGTTATAACTCTCCTGCAGAGCCAGCCCCCTCAATGTCACGTTCTCTACCTGGGGATCATGACTCTTGCTGACATGTTCAATGAGAGACCTGTTTTTTAAAAATTCAAAAGTCCACATTAGTAGTAGAGGTACAAAATGGCAGTAAATCAGCAGCAAAAAGTGACAGAAGTGCAGAATAATGTCTCATGTTAGAGCTGGACGTCAGCTGTGGGCTGCTTTCCCTCCCCACTGCAGTGAGGGTGAGGCTGTGTGTGCACGAGGCTCGGTGCTGTACCTGGGTAAGGATGCATACTGCCTTTCCACCCCCTCGAAGTGAAGATTGTAGGAGCTCCCATCTGGACCTTTTCCAGGCACCTGTGGAGAGGAGAGTAATTAGAGATGAAGATCAATTATGCAGCCCAGCTACTAACAATGCATCTCAAAATGATAAGCAGAGAACACATGATGCTGCAACATGCCAAAATCAACAAAAGAAAGACGGGGGCTCAAAGAAGCTTCAAATTCCATACATAATCTTATCACTGCTAACAAGAAAGTATCTGATCAAAGAAGTGTTTAGAGCAGGTACTAATCTTCAGAGCCTTTCCCTCATCTGCCTACTGGCTGGGATACTCTCTCTTCTTCCCTGCCCAGCCTTCCTCCTGCAATTCAGTAACATGAGGACATCATCTAACTCAGCACACCCCTTCTGATTACAGTGGCATAACTACCTGAAACAAAGCTAACATCTTTGTACCAAGTCTGCTTTTTTTCCCCTCCATCAGCTTGTTTTGCTTAAGTATAAAATATGACACAAACAGGTTTTCTTTCATTCTTAACACGAATCCAGAAACTTTCCCTAACGCCACTGCAAAGCTAAGTATCCAGCTGGGAGTTAAGTGCATTTATGATGCTCTGGTGCCATTTCAAAAGTGCGGCATTAGTGCACTCAGTCAAAATGCCAGCGCTGCTTGGTTTGTGTTCAAGATGGCAACCGGCATTGGCTGGGGAGCACAATTCTATCAGGAAGGCTCCAACCGGGTACCAAACGGTGAACTTCAATGCTTTTAGCACACAGGAGCTCTCCCAATTTCACTCGCTCAATGCCTGCTGATGGCCCAAAGTGTTAAGAGCCTTGTTAAAATGGGGCTATTAGTCTTTTCTTCCATAAATGGAGGAGGTGCTGACTGCCTTCAGTGTTTCCTACATTAGTATGTATTCCTATTCCGGTGCTGCTAGAATCAGCAGTTTTATAAAGCAATATACTAAGAGGCCATTTAAAATCCCCTTCCCCTTTTACAGATTAATAGCAGAAAGGAAGATTTAATGCCTTTTCAAACATTTTTAACAATTCATTAAAAAGAAAGTAATAAATCACACTGAGCTTTCGGCAAATGCCTGATTAGAAAAAAAAAGAGAAAACAAAAATTAACATGTTTTTTGCATTCTACAGGTTAAAGTACATTTCTGTCAGTCCTGTAATGTATGCACAACACACCCTTTTCACTGAACAGATGTATAAACCCCTGCAATGACAAAAGTTGTGCATTCAGTGTATTAAGTGTCTCTACCTTTACAAAGCATTTCTGTGTACATTACATGAACCAAGTCCAATGCAAAGAGAGGCAGTATCATTTGGAGCTACGAGGCAGGCTTAGGAATTATTCTGGACAAATTTTGTTATGCACCTTGGCACTCATCAAACATCAAAGATACTTGTAAATGAAAAAAAAATATTTAGTACAGGCCTCTTGCAAGCTTCCTTTATCTCATTCAAAACAGAAAGGCGTCCTCACAGAACTGCTGGCCACAGAAAAAAACCCACCTCTGATTTGAAATGACCCATGCTTTAGCAGTGCCTGACTTTGGATGAACAAAAAATAACAATAATTGCCCTATATTTCAAAAAGAGGGCAGTAGGCTAAAGGGATCATTCATTCATTTTTTCCACCAGAAAAAGTAACATGCAGAGAGATTTTACAGAGTCACTCAGGTGAAGAGTCACAGCCACTTTGGCTGTTCTTATACTACTAATTTCATCATGTTTATAATTTCCCTTAAGTTCCCAGGTACACTAGGGAGAGAAGACCCTCCAGATTTCTCCTGTTTTATGAAGAAGAATGAGGGGAAAAGAAACAAATGTATAATCTGGTCTCTCACCTTAAAAAACATATAGTACATGGTCTACCTGTGCAGCTGTAGATAGGTTATTAATTACGTGCCTGGTAACGTGGCTCATAATTAATATGAGCCTGGTAACGGTGCATTCACAGCCCCCTGTGAGTTTCCTGCACTCTCACACCTATGGGGAGTAACAGCAGCCAGGCAATGTGAAAAAACACACTCAGAATTGTGCCAGCATCAAGCAGTAATCCCAAAACTTATACCAGTCATCAAAAGTAAAAAATATTTACATTACAAGGCCTTTTTTCAGCCTGAAAACACCCCTTTTTTTGATGATTTCCTACAGACCAAATAGAAGGCAATAGCCCCTGCCAGATCTGTTTGTATATATGATTTGAGAGACAGTTACCATAGAAACACCCTGGTGGCGGATACACAATTTTGCTAATTTGGATCCATCGAGCGGCTGAGTCTCCACACCCTATATAAAACCCCCAATGCACTGGAAAAGCATGCTCTGGCTCTGCACAGCTAATTAAAGGCTCAGCCATTTCTTCTGATTTCCCTTCTCCATCTGTCCATGCGACAGTAAAAGTGTATCATCACTCAGCCTGGAGTGCCAAAATGGTGCCTGGAATAAAATACTACCCTGATGAAAAGAGAAATTGTGAAAATAGAAACACCTCCTTAGTAGAAGTTATTTATGTTTCAGGAAGAGTCAAAGAAAAGGGTTCCTTTGCTGTCTTCTACAACAAACTAAGCTAAGAATCAGTGTGAAATGTACTAATTAGTAAGATCAAAATATTGCAGCTTCTCCTCCTCTCCTAAAACAGGACATATGCAGCTGGTCATCAGACCAGGTGTGGAAGCTTTAACACAGTTAATAATCACAACACATTTAGGTGAAGAAACAGTAATCTTAATAAAACAGGATTAAAACCTGGAAGTCCTATCAAATGTGTGGTGACCACGAGGTGACCAGCAAGGGAGCTGACAGAAGGTGCAGTGCTCCTCTGAGTCCCTACAGATGCAGCTGGAAGAGCTTAGGAGACCAACACCCCAATCAACAGAGAGCACGACAGCAGGTGAAACGCACACTTCACAAATGTATGGTAACGCACAACAGAAAAAATGATCCAAAATATGCTCCTGTATTTTTAGGGTTTAAATTAACAACATCAACTTAAATAAGTGCCATCATTATAAACAGTTCATCTCTTAAGAGCGGCCTCAACTAACAAGCAAAACATGAATATGCAAAAATAATGGGCAGAGATAAACACAGAAACAGGCATCATCCTATCAGCGCAATTAAAAAAGCAGCACGCTTAAATCGAGGAAAGAAAATACTATCTTTATCAAAAAACAACTAGCAATTCATGAAGTGTAGCTGTTGCAAAGTACTGATATGTCCAAGGCCTTTGTGGAATGTAAAACTAATAAACCGGATACAAATATGGATCGAACCAACTAACATCCGGTTAGCAGAAGACAGTCAAGTCTTTGGCAGGTGGAAGAGAAGCAAGCCCTCGAGAGAGATGAATGGGAGAGCAGAACCTCTGTACCAGCAGGTTGTTCTCCTAATTGCCCCTCTGGGAGCCCCAGCCACAGCAGTGGCCACACTCGGAGACAGAAAAACTGGCAGGACACTGTGTCCATATAACTCAGCGTAATCCTTCATGGGCAGGATTTTCTGTGTGCCAGAGAGGTGTGTTTTATACATGGCTAGTGAATATTTTTGTTGTTTAAGCCTCTCTTTTTAGAAACAATAATTTTCACTAGCTAACAAGATTTCTGTGATAGAAAGGTATCACTTCAGAAAATATCCTATGACACCTCTGCATCCTTAATTTAACTCCTGCCAGTTCCCAGCAGAAGAACCAGGCTGGTGGAAGTGCAAACTGAAGGACAGAGTAGCTCAAGCGAGAAACAAATATCTTAGAGTGTTCAAACATCTGCAAATAAATTTTAAGATATAAGTAGAGTATACCTGTGAGCAGATGTCTTGACTAAGTCTGGAATTTTCCTACAGGAGAATTCTTGGGTTGCAGAATAACAATTCTTGAAGGGAAGAGAAAGGATTTATTTAATCCTGAAGCTCCTGACTATCTTGAAAACCATACAGAAAAGTGCACAAGACTGTGTTTTTTTCCCTGGGAGACCCTGCATTTCATTCCCCCTCACCTGTCTTATACTGCCTTCCTCTTGGAGCATTTGTTAAAGGCTACAATTCTAGCTGCTAGCAGAAAGCCTCCCTTGCCCCTTCCTTATGGATCAAGGACAGATGCTGTGGTACAAAAAATAACAACCAGAGTGATCTTTTTTGAAGTTTAACCTTCATGAAACCAGAATTGACTTTTTCTTGTGCATCCACACACAGCTCAAGGTGAGAGCTACCACACTGCAAATAGAAATCAGCAACATCTCCTTGCCTCTACCAGCAGAATTCAGCAGGACAGTGTGTTTTTGCCTGGGGCTCTGCTTCTTACAGATTCCCACCTGACTCCCTGCTCATGGTCCATCCTGAGTGAGGTCAGCACAGTGAAAACTCAAGACCATGGATATTGCTTGTAAGGAAAATAAATGATGCAGAGACATTATCAGGTTGGCTGTCTCATAAAGTTGCAGTTACTGTTCCCTCTCCTGCAGGTATTTAGACTTGTATATAGAAAACTTCATCATTATTGTAGAAGTCAGTTGGTTAAAAAAATAAAACTTCTTAACCAGCTACTCTTCTGCTCAGACTAAAAAGTTTCCCACTGATAAAAAAGAATAATATACAGTGGCTGTTGCATTCAGGATCATTAATTCTTCACTTACATGCTAAGCATCGCTGTCCTTTTACTTTTTAGCCCTTTTTTCCCCTGACTTCTGAACAATAAGCCTCCTCCAAACATTTCAATTACGATTAAGATAAAGAAAATTTGGATAGTGTGCTGCCCACTAAGTAAGTAGCAATAATATAACTTCCTCAAGGCTGATGGGATTTTAGCTACATGTTTGTGAATCCAGGGTAAAACATTGCTGACTTCACTTCAGCCACACCTGACTTAATTAAAATTATGGGTGATCAGGAAAAGCTTAGGAAGATAGAAGTCCTGGGACTCCCAGGTTTTTCACTTATCCATTGTGTATGTTCAGGGAAGTCACTTGAGCTTGTGCACTGTGGTTTTCTACCCATAAAACATGGCAGGATACTGCCATTGTATTTGATATGACTGACAAGCACTGTAAGACAGGAGTCACCCCAG